ATTCGCTTAACCACGGTGGCAAGAAAGGCCATAAAATAGGGCAAAACTCACTTAATAATTGTTTTGCAGTAATTTTGGGCTCAGTTGTGATCCTTATGTTGAAGACTACCTGTATTTTCCTGTGCAAGATTTAGTTTTGTGGAAAAAAAGCGGTATCATTTTCTGATGATTTTAGTTTGTTTTTTTCCCACATCAAGTTAGCTGTAATGACCCAGGGTGGGGTACAAAATAAGCACAGTCACTTTGCTTTAAAGCTCCAAATAACCTTGACTGGAGACAAAAAAACTCCCTCACAAGCAGTTATGAAAAGGAGGAAATGGCGTTTAAACTAAAAATGCCTATAAATTATGGAGAGTAAAAACAACACAAACCACACTGAAGCAATTAAGGGAACCAGGCAGGATAAGGGCTTGAAGATGTCCACAGATATTGGAACATACACTGGGAAGGACACCAAACTCAGAGAGGAATGACAGACTAGAGATATTTCCACGCTTTGTTTCCAGCACGGGCCCGTATGCATGCCCGTCCTTTTAACCAGTTCTCACAGCTGCAGCCCATGAAGAGGATCAAGGCCCTTTCCTCCCCCGTAGACCACGCCATTCACACCTCTCCCTTATCCTCTCCTCCCTGTGTCCCCTAGGATGGAGAGGGGATGGGCCTGGGTCTTCCTCTGACTGCCCAGCCGGCCTCTGCCCTTCCCCAGCCTCCTCTACAATCTCCAGAGCCACACTTCCACTTCCTGTCGGCTGTTCCTCGTCTCCCTCGGAGTCAGTCTCCAACAGGGGCATGACATTAGCATTGTATGGTTGGAAGATTTGTTCTTCAAGGAGGCTCATTTGGCCCAATCAACAATGCAGATGAATGACTTTATGCAGCAATAAATTTCAATAGTATTGCATCTGTGTTTAACTGTATGCCAATGTCTATTGCATTGGGACTGTCAAGATTAGTGACGGAAACATCCCAGTGCCCACTCCATTGCAAGATGTAGATTTTAGCACCTCTTTGGCACCAACTAGTGCTTCTCTGGTGTTTTGCAGCCAAATCTTTTGTCGGCGTTGACACAGAGGTCAGTTTGCATAATCATGACCTTCCTCTAACACACCACTAAGAGCAGTGGTGGGATTCTACATCCCCCTCCCCTACCAGTTCTATAAGAGTGTGCTTTGTGTGCCTAATGCATGCAGCATTCAAAAATTGCCTTCTGTGTCAGTGCTAGTGAGTTGAGCTGCTTTTTAGCTCAGCTGAGGCATGGCAATGCGCTCTGCCGTGCGAATCAGCTGAGCTAAAAAGCAAGGGAATATAGAACAGGAAAGAGCAGGTGGGGCCAGCCAGAGGTGGTATTTGCAGGTTCTCCGAACTACTAAAAATTTCCACTACCGGTATGCCAGAACCGTTCTGAACGGGCAGAATACCACCTCGGACTGATACTTTTTGGTCTTCTTAAATTTCCTATCTGTACTCAGACAAATTACAGTGTTACACTGATTTAGAGTGGAGCTTTAACTTATTGGTGGCCAGCACATTGTCTTGAATCATCTGACAGTTTGGCCAGTGAATCATCAGCAGATGGGCAGTGAAGATATCTGATGGCAGGTGTTGGTTAGGTATAAATCAAAATTATTCAGCCCTTCATCCTTCCTCCTTTTGCTCTGCTTTTGCCACATCGTTCTCTGGCCTGCTACTGAGTAGGCTGCCAAATTGAACAGGCATCATACTTAAAAGTATGAACAGCTCACTTTTGGAGGCCAAAAAGGCATAGAACTTTGATTCCTGGTTTACAGTCCTGGGTTGTTTCCCTAAACATAGAAACAAACCTTAATTTTGTAGTTAAAATTACACGCTTTAGAGATATGACTGGATGATTGAAGACTGCAGGGAATAGGAAAACAACACAATATGCTCATATTTGTAATGGTTGTAGTGCTCTGGGGACACATGGTCCCTTTTTGCCACCTTCTGACAAGCAAAGTCAATGCGGTAGTCAGATTCACTTAATTTTGGAAATTTGGGCTCAATTACGGTTCTACGACGAGGACTATCTGCACATTCTGGAATTTAAGGGACTTAGAAGTCTTAGGGATCCTGTCTTCTCTAATCTCAACCCCTAACAAAAATACTACCCATGTTTTAACAAAAATACTACCTGTGTTTTCTGAAAAATAAGACCAGGTCTTTTGGGCCCAAAATAAGCACTAGGGCTTATTTTCAAAGGGTGTATTAGGTTTTTCCATGTACGGGAAGCCCACTTATTCTACTTTCTCATGGCAGGACAGGAGGTCACAGAATGCACCAGTGCTGCCACCACAAAGTGTGGAGAGTGGATGGAGCTACCCCATACTGGCTTACTCAGGGCCCCCGCAGCCAGGCCATCCACACCCCGACACCTGCCTTGCCTTGCAGGCACAGCACCAACACGCCACTCAGCCTCCTCTTTGAGCAAGCGGAAGTGGGCTGGCGGCCACATAGGCTCCTGCTGCACAGGGCTGCTGCCACTATGAGGCAGGTGTCAGGGTGTGGATGGCCCATGTTCTGACCCAACCTCACGAACCCCATTCAACAGCCTACTCGTAAGGAGAAACCCTTTTTTATTTAGAAAGGCAGGAATTCACAGCATTCACCGACAAAGCTCCAGGTCATACATCCAAAGGTCATTCACAAGCCATAACAGTCCCTGAGTTCCCCACAGGGATCCTCAACTAGCACTTCAATCCCAACACAAAGAGACCATTGGATGAAACTCTTCTGGAGCATGAATGATGTCTCCGACACCCATTCCTCTCCCCCCGCCCGTCCTTATAACCCAGTCAGGGAGGGGCTTGTTAACGTTTCCTTTTTTTCCTGGACAGGTGGCGCTCAGTCCTGCATTGCTCTCCTCTCTGAACTTCTCTGCACATACGCGCATCTGGGACAGGGCCCAGCTGTTCCCACCCCCTCATTAATCTCAGGCTCCGAAAACAGCTCTCCCTCTGCCTGAACATTAGATGGGCCCTGCTCTGCATCTGGCTCTGAGACCTCCTGTTCCTCAGAGCCGTCCGCCGGCTACGGTGGTAACCCAGGCACCCCCCGCCCCCATCTATGACTCATCTGACTTGACTGTCATCTCTGCTGTCAGTCGATGAACCACAATAGCCTGGCTGCCAGGCCCTTGAAGTGCAAGGCAGTCCCACCAGCCTCCCACCTCACCTCGACCGGTTTTTAAGTAGGGCTTATTGGCGGGGTAGGGCTTATCTTAGGTGCATGCATAAAAACATCTTATTTTCAGGATAGGACTTATTTTGGGGGAAACAAGAGTACTATGGACTACTGCTATGGTATCCATTATGATGATTTTACGGTTTGGATTTGTCTTCCAAAAATCTTGGTTTTAGGCCCTTCTATAGTTACTGCAATTTCCCAGCTATCCAGGTCTCAAATATCAATCTAAAATCTAAATCTTTCAATCTAAAACGAGCAGCACTTTGGATTGGAGCAGAGGAATCACTGGCTTTTTAGCTTCATTAAAGTCTTAGGAGGAGCTTAGCTGAGTGCTGGGAGGAAAGTCAGTTCGGGTTGAGCGGACAGTTAACCAAGCCTGCATTCCATGCACTGAGCTCTCCAAGGTCCTGATTATCTTTGCTGGCCTGCCTCATCCATTCGCTGTATTTATTATCCTCAGCAAATTTCCTTGACGTCCTAAGTACACATTTTATTTATTTTATTTTTATTTATTTATTTTTGTCAATTGCTTACAAGATAATAGATATAAGTAAAAGCATAGTTATGAATACATGGGTACATATAAGAAAAATAAAAAAAATTAAAGAAACAATAGGACAGGGACGGTTGGCACGTTGGTGTGCTTATGCACGGCCCCCTACAGACCTCTTAGGAAAGGGGTGAGGTCAATAGTAGACAGTCTAAGGTTAAGGTTTTTGGGGTTTGGGGAAGAAACCACAGAGTCAGGGTAGAGTATTCCAGACATTGACCATTCTGTTGCTGAAGTTGTATTTCCTGCAATCAAGTTTGGTGCGATTAACCTTGAGTTTGTATCTATTGTTTGCTCTTGTGTTGTTATGGTTGAAGCCACATGCAAAGCCATTCACAAAGCAAGCATGAAACATACAATAACTAAGGTTGCAGAAACTCAAATTATAGTGAAAATGGGTTATATTGATAGAACTTGCACTTCCAAAATATTTTAAATAATTTATTTATATCTTGTGATATGTTTATACCACACTTGTGATATTATGACATTTTCCAATAAATAATATTCTCTTCTCTTCTCTTCTCTTCTCTTCTCTTCTCTTCTCTTCTCTTCTCTTCTCTTCT